AAATTTTACATTGTTGAATCAAACGGAAAACTGATCCTGGTTTCAATGAATTCAATTAGATTACTGATTTTGCATTTATAATATTTAACTGGATACGGGCCTGGTTTAAATTGCTAGCATCCATGCTTCTCACGCTCAGGGTGTTCAGCGAACCGGGAAAACCGGGAATACCGGGAAATATCCGGGAAATTGAAAAGTAACCGAGATAAGCCCGGGAATTCGATGAAAGAACCGGGAAAAATAAATTAACCAGACCATAGGAATAAATTTTTAAATCAGAATTACAGAATAAACCATTAAAACAGAGTGATTCTTTACCAAATGAATATCTTTCTCTATTTGCTGCATAATTTTCTTCAGATTCCCGTCTTATTGTTTTTAGAATTTAATCACTCAGTAATATTTCAAATTGATTTTTGTCGTTTCAATTTCAGATGTAAAGTGCATGGTCCTTACAACAAAACATTGAAGATGCTGGACTTAAGAAACACATATTTATAAAAAAAAAAACTGAAACTGAACTATTCTTTTCTTTTATTCAAAATTGTCATGATATGAATTCCAGAATTAACTTGGAATTCTGCTCTGAATTATCATGGACTTCTTCTGAAATTACCCAGAAAACGCTCCGCGTAATAATTATAACAGCATAAATCTTTCGAAATTTTATTTAGAAACCCCTTGGAGCATTTTAAAGAATGTATTTCTAATTATTAGCAATACAAGCTGGAGCTCTGTGATGAATCTTTCGCACTAGGGTTTTAACTATCGCCAGAACTCTTAGAACTCTGTGTCTTGTTGAATTCTCACCATAATTATCTTGGAATTCTTCTTTTTTCACACGATCCTCATACAAATCACTTAGGAATTTTCTTTAAAGAATTTTTTTTTCACAGCTTCTTTTGAAGTCTTTAAAAATTACCTTAGAATTTAATTTAGAACTTGCAATCTTTTCCACAGAAATCCCTCCAAATTCTTCTAAAAATTTCTAAGAATTTCATGCCAAAATAATTCTGGAATTCTGCTCAGAACTTCTCCTTCAAAAACTATGTGGGAATCCTCTTCAATATTTGTTTGAAATCAACACTTTGAATACTATTTTACTAAAAATTCCAGGGTTTTTCCTCAAGATTCTATCGATTGTCCTGTAATTTGTTATAACCCTTAAAATGCTCTAATGTTATAACCCCAAATCTCAGAGCCTTGACAGTTATAACTTAACGACTATTCAATAAATATGATATTTTTTTCAAATCTGTTGTATTGAAAAAATTCTAAATCTCACATTTTAACTATTTTTTCTCCAAATTTTGCATCACGAAGATTGTTATTAATTTTAAATTTTGAAGAAAAGTTCTAGTTTCAGACTCTACATAAATTTCAAAGCCCCAGAATCTTAAGAATTCTGACGTAGGACTACGTCTGTGATTTCTATATCGGGGTACACTTTGTGAAAACCCGAAATGGAACATGTAACAAAATTATGAAAGATTTTGAACGTTAATAACTCAGCTGACCCTGGACCAATTCCAATAATTTTATCACCAATCGATCAGAAATATTTCTACGCATCTGTTAAAGTTAAGACTTTATCATTTTTCAAAACGTGACTATTGAAAATTGCACGAATGTGCAATTCCTACACAAAACACAAGCTTTTGCTGCAGTTAACAAATAAGATTTATTACGTGGGCGGCGGGTTCGATTCCCGGTCCAATCGAGGGAATTCGTCGGGTTGGAAATTTTATCGACTTCCCTGGGCATAGAGTATCACTGTACTTACCACACAATATACAAATGCATGCATTGGTATTGGAATCGAAATCTCTCAATTAATAACTGTGGAAGTGCATTTAGAACACTAAGTTGAAAGCACGCAATAAGCTAAAATACGCTAACAAAAAGCTTGAAATGTGAATAAGAGAAAGAAGAAGTCCTACGTCACCATTGCGTGCAACCCCATAGGGCTGTCCCTTGTAGTTTTTTTAAATCAATTTTTTATCCTTTTAGTAAATAACCTTTCAGTATTTTTTTTTTTTCAAGTATTGGTCAATTGGACGTGGGTATTAAATTTCAAGAACCATGTTTACTTTCACGTTGAGCGAGTTCCAACGTCAGTAGGTTTTACATATTTTTTTCGTGTTTAACTTTGTATATCAGCGCGAGTGCTGTAAGGTTTATATTTATGTTAGTGTAGACAACGGAGTGAAGACACATTTTCTTTTTCCGATATCCCTAACAATTTGCTCTAATTCTCATTTGTATCAAGTTCATTTTATTCTAATTTTTTTCAATCAAATTTTCTTCATAATTCTGTCCTATAAATAACCTTCTCATCCAGATAGCATTTGGCCTAGTGACGTTAATCTCTGTTACTCAATAAATGCTAGGGCTTTGAAATCATAAGATGTATCGAGCATAAAAAGTGGTAGAATTTTAGTTGGTTTTTTTCTTTAGCTTTAGACAATACTTTCTGTAATTTTGCTTTTATTTTTACAACAAATAACCTCCGAAGTTTTACAGTTGGCCATGTTTTGAAAAATGCGTACAATTTCGTTTTTTGTTGAATATTAACAACCGGGAAATTTCTTTGATTTGAACCGGGAATACAGCGAACAACAAAACGAATGTTAAACAAAACGAATTGACAATAATTGTTAGTTCAACGAATGATGAACTTAAATTAAACTTTCAACAAGACGTTAACAGCAGAACTTGAAGTTAAGTTGCTTTCATTTAAAAGTCTTGGCTGCATAATGAAAGCACAATATGGTATCAGACTGGTTGTGCCGTTCTCGATAGGTACAGCTGGGCTTTTTTTTCTATATACTCTATCTTTATAATATCAAAATATTTTAACTGTCGTTTATAACGGAAATATAAGGAAATTAACACACATTTTCATTTTCATTTTCAACTGCGTTATTTTTATAATTTCTATAAAATCCATTAGATAGGGTATACGTCCCTAACCTCGGTCTAATATGCAGCCATCGATTACGTTTTTAATCATAACTCATCAATGAATTTACCTGCAAACGATATTCTACTGCTAAATGGTATGCTTAGATATGCTTATCATGTCGTTTGCTATCAGAAACCACGAAAAGTTGAAAAACTTACTTTTTTTAAGACAATAACTCACGAGGGAAATGTATGTAATATGGGTCTATTGTCCCCAAATTGGGTCTATTTATGGATGCAACTTCGTCCTATCTTGTTTGATCCTCAAAAAAACGCTCTTGGTAACGTTTTCTGATGTATTTTTTTTTATCACTATCACTGTTAACTTAATGCTCTTCATTCCTCAAAACATTTCTTAGAGAAAATTTTACGAAAACTACATTAAATCACTCAATTTAAAAATTAAAAATTAAAAATTTCGCTTATCGTTTTTCGACCGCAGAATATCTAAATCAAAACATTGTGATGTTCATTATACAGATTTGGCAGAAAAAATCTCCCTTCCTGTTCGTTCCTTATCATCCAAATGCAAACCACATTGTTGACGTTACTCTTATTGCTATATGCTGTCAAATGAATTTCATGGGCCAAAGTTAGGAACATAGAAAAGAAATGTGTCCCTAAAGTTGGGTCCATGATTTACTTGTGAAAACGTTGTTAAACAATTAAAATAAACATAAAATATTCAAACAGTAACTGTGAGTTTTACGTCTAGTGTGTATGAGTGAAATTAACTTGAATTTAAAACTTTCTCTACACCCCAAGCAACATTGCAAGGTTTATCGAGGCTTTATAGCTTTCTACAAGTCTAAATCATGGTCTACAGAACCCTCATAAACCTGCCTCTAACTTTTTTCATCAACAGAATCCCGCAAAATGCTGTATAGAACTTTTATAGGTTTAGTTATAAGCTAAAACTTTTGCCTGTAACTCAAATCTGTATCTCTTATGCATCACGAATAAGAGCGGGCAGGACTTATTACTGTTTTTCAGTGAATGTAAAATACATTTACTGAAAAACAGTAGTGGCTTCTGTTCGCTCTGGTTCGTTATACATAAGAGATACGGATTTGAGTTATTAACAAAAGTTGTAGCTGATAACACAACCTACGAAAGCTCCGGAATTCTGTTGATGAGAAAAGTTAGGGGCAAATGAATGTAAATGAATGCACGAAATGAATGCAAATGATTTTCCATGCCTGCATATGACTCATATTTTGTAAATATTGTCCCTTTTTTTGGTTCTGCGCGGCTTGTGACCTCACCTGGATGTTCCGGATACTGGTTTCGGTGGCCACAATCGACTTTTTTTTTGTAAAACTGAGCATGCGACTCATCAATTTACGTTAGGTTGATATGCATCATAATCTGTGACTATTTTTCTCGATTTCAGTCGATGGTCTACCCCGGATGTTCCAGATAATGGATCCGATGGGCCACAATACACTTATTTTTAACGAGGATTCAACTAGGATTCCTACGAGCATGGCTTCCTTTTTTGGGTTTAATGTCAATCCTCGGATAGCGAGACATTTATCGGCATTCCCATTAGCCTCGCCAATGCTAATTCAGTATTCATATATTAAATATAGACTGATACATGGTAGGAAAGTGTCTAAAAACGCATTTTTACCGTCATACGCCGTTTCACATCGGCGTCGGTCTTGCGACGCCTAGTAAAATTAATTTCAAACCAATCGCAATTTAACTTGCAAGCATCAAGTCATGAGCATTGGATGTCGCTGTTTGTCTCAATTATTTTTGACGCATACATGCGTGAAATGAGCCCAATATGACGAAGTAGCGTTATGCCCTATGTAAAATGAAACATGATTAAAAGGCCTGTGTGTATTATTTGCCCCGACAAAAAAGGAGTAAATACAAAACTTTCAACAGTTTCTACTCCAAACGATTCTCATGGAGACGCATCGTACTTTAAATAACATGGAATGGCTCAACTTGAGCCATTCAAATCCATATCCCAAAACTTCTATAAATCGATTACTGATAGGCACTCTATTTCCACTCTCCCGCAGGACCCAAAGGCATCGTACGACGTGAACGGAAACGACGGCGATCCCATGCCGCACTACGACCTGACGGACTCGAACCGGCACGGGACCCGGTGTGCCGGTGAGGTCGCCGCCACGGCCAACAATTCCAAGTGCGCCGTAGGCATCGCGTACGGCGCTCGGGTCGGCGGGGTCCGGATGCTCGACGGCGACGTCACCGATGTGGTGGAAGCGAAATCGCTGGGACTGAATTCGCAACATATCGACATCTACAGTGCCTCGTGGGGACCGGACGATGATGGGAAAACCGTCGACGGACCGGGTGATATGGCAACGCGGGCTTTCATCGAAGGTGTCCGGAAGGGACGCGGTGGCAAGGGGTCGATTTTTATTTGGGCCTCGGGCAACGGTGGCCGGGAGCACGATAACTGCAACTGTGATGGGTACACAAATTCCATTTGGACCCTGTCGATATCGAGTGCCTCACAGGAGGGATTGGTGCCTTGGTAAGGGGCTTTAGAACATGGCGAATGAAGATGGCTATGCTAATTCTCGATTTCCTTCGTGTGCAGGTTCTCGGAAATGTGCAGCTCCACTCTGGCGACCACTTATAGCAGCGGGAATACCAACGAAAAACAGGTGATCACAACGGATTTACATCACTCCTGTACGACGTCCCACACGGGAACGTCTGCTTCGGCTCCATTGGCAGCCGGCATAGCCGCTCTAGTCCTGGAGGCAAATCCTAACCTGACATGGCGAGATCTGCAGCACATCGGTAAGCAAACCCGCGGTCACATTTCCCATTCCAAAATTAAAATCGCACACCATTTCATCAGAAGCAAAGGCTGTTTCACAGCTCGTTGGTTCGAACCAAATTTGATCCGCATTCGTTTATTCTTTTTATGTGTAATCTTCCAGTTGTTCGTACGGCGAAACCGGGCAATCTGAAGGATCCAACGTGGTCAAAAAACGGTGTCGGTCGGCGGGTGTCGCACTCGTTTGGCTACGGCCTGATGGATGCCGCTGCGATGGTCAAACTGGCACGTACGTGGCGAACCGTCCCGGAGCAGCAAATCTGCGAAATCAACGCACCCCATCTGGACAAGTACGTCGCATGGTTTTTTTTTTTTGTTCTTGCCACGCTAGAGCATCATTCATGTATAATATTAACTCTTCACTGTCCGTCTTCGTCTCACTCTCTCACAAACAGGCAAATTCCACCGCGCACCAAAGTCACCCTACAGCTGATGGTGGCACACTGCAAGGGCGTCAACTATCTGGAGCACGTACAAGCCAAAATCACGCTGACCTCCCAACGGCGTGGCGATATTCAAATATTCCTGACCTCTCCGTCCGGTACCCGGGTCACACTGCTGACACCTAGGTGAGATGCGAAAATGTTTGCCTCGTTCGTTCCCTAGCCTAACTCTCTCTCTCTCTGTCTCGTTGCCAGATCTAACGATTTATCTCGTTCCGGTTTCAATCAATGGCCTTTCATGTCGGTGCACACGTGGGGCGAAGCGCCGCACGGGACCTGGCAGCTGGAGATCCACAACGAAGGTCGTCTATTAGGTGAGATTGATATAGCACTAGCACTATCTACTATTTGTGGGGGAGGGGTAGTGGGTCAGCTGCATCGGATCTTACCCAATCGGTCGATGGGTGGATGCTTGGCGGTGGTGGTCGGAGGTGGTGTTCGTCGTCCCTGTGATATCGCTTTGATGGTTAAGCGAGAAAGCTAAAAACATGTGTTGTGTTGTTTGTGTATGGGTGTGTGGAACTCGACGGGGGATGACACAAACTAATTGCTTTCGTCGTACGGCAACACGAGAACTTGTGGTTTTTGATGTGTGTATTTCCGTGTCCCTGTCTTTGGAAGATGGTGGTTATTTCCTGTGTGGTTTGACTGGCCGACGACGATTTGTAGATCAAGAAATGCACCGACAGTGTTCATGCAGCAGCAGTTTTACTTGAAGCAAATTGCCATCCGCCTTCATCGTCACGGTAGAACATCGATTTTCAACCTGGGATTTGCGAACCCCCCACTGACCGAAAGGCACATCAAAAGAAGCGATGTAGAGCGTGCTTGACCGCACGGCGAGGCAACGTTGAGAATCGATGCGATGGGGGACTAGTAGTGTAACGATGGAGACGCATTGTACCTTACGTGGTACTGTCATTCCAATGTGTAATATTTTCTTAAGTCGAGTTTACTAGTCGGTGTTCAATTTACTTGACGTCAGTGGCGTTTCCTTAACCTCAATCTACCTGCACCAACATATTAAAAATAATTATCAAAATATTGCTTGCAGTGGATAGGTATCTAGTATGAATATGGCATTAAATCTGGTTTTGAAAGTTGGTGCACAGGTAAAAAGTGAGGCTACGGGACGCCACTGCTTGACATCGAATACAGCAAGTCCGTCATCATTGAGCTTTCTGGATGTTCATTTCGCAGTACATGTGAGTTGAACGCTGAATAGACTCATCTAAACCGGCTTTAAAGCTGGTTTAGACAAGGCAAGTCAATTGATCAACTCACTTGAATTCAATTGGCACTCAATTCAAGTGAGTTGATCAAGTCAGTTGAATGGCATGGTTTACACGTTCAATTAGTGTTCAAGTCAGTTGAATTCAACTGACTTGATCAATTCTAAACCCAGCTTAAATCTTGCTATTCGAGTGAGTTGATTTGAATTGAAAAAAGTTGAACCGGAATCAACTTTTCAAGCCAAATGAGTTTAACTGAGTTGATCAATTGACTTCCCATATCTAAACCCAGCTTAAGGGCACTCTAGCCAACTCTAAATGCCTTTGATCTCCGAAGTTGACCCATAAGATGTCATGAAGATGGTTCAATAAGCCTGTGGTGTTGGTGGATTTTTACACTAACGTCTCGAAGGTTGTTTTTTTCGGATACAAAAGGCTTTCCAGATGCTTTCTATTGGGTTATTAACCTAAAAACCAACTTTTTGACAAATATTTAGAACAGTAAAAATAAAACTGTTAAAGGGAGAATAAATTTGAAATTTCAATATCCGGATATCCGGATAGTTACTATCCGCCTGATAACCATCTCAACGTTTTCTCAATTTAGTTTATTTCAATATTGAGCACTAGAAACCATGAAATTCTGTATATTGAATATCAATTCAACGATATTTAATTTGTATGAAAGTAGTTTTATTGAAAAAAAAACTGGAGTATCCGGATAGTTGAAGTCCCAGCTCTATCCAGAATCGGTTCTACGAAGGTCATATGGCTTTATGTATGTCATTTTGTTGATGTCATGTTACAAAAAAGTTACCTAATATTCAGAACTATCTGAAATTTAATAATTGCCCTCAAACTGCGTTTTCCAAGTGAGCGATTATTCAAATTCAGTCCCATAAATTATCTCTTTGAATGGCTCCCACCGCTGCTATATCGACTTACTTGTAGAGCAACATAACAAAATTGCACTCCACTGCCCTAATTCAGGAGGCATAAAGTGGACACACTAAATATCTGCTCTCGATAACGAGCGTAATTCTGCTTTCAACATCAAGAGCGGCACGCTGTTCTATGTCGAAGTACCACCACATCCTTGAATCGGCAAACCACTTCAATCGGTTCCACTTTAATTTGATTTGATATCGACAATTATGGGCGCGGGGAAATGGCACTGCCCACTTCAATTATCATTGGCTTCGACAATCAGTCATCAATCATTCAGCGGATAATTTTCCCATGATTATCAACAGAGACAACACTGCAGGAAACACACAAACAATCAGGAGAAGCTTTGACGCTTCCTCTTCAATCATTATTTTACTGTATTTATCTCGACCCACATCAAATGCCACCCACCGACCGACCACCATGCACTAAAACACCGGCCCATGTCCATTTCCACCCGGCGGCAGTCCCCGAAGGGACTGACAGGATATCCACAGCAATTAGTGTCACTATATGTATCATTGTAATTAACTCTCATTTCCTCACCTGTTAATCTCCATGCATGCATTCGCCTAATGGATTTACTAACACCACTAATCGCAAACGACAACATCAACCAACGGCAGGATACTCGCTGATTCGCAGTTGGTCGTTGATTCTGTACGGTTCCAGCAGTGCACCGGATCCTAACGATCCACCCAACGTGCCACGAGTACTGTCCACTCTTCCGCCCCCACTGCCGCCCATCATTCCAGCGTCCGGCTACAGTGCTTACTCCGTGGGTAGTTCGAAGAATTTCTACTCAACCGGTGGCGGTGGCGCTGGCGGCAGCAGCAGCAGCCTTGGCAAACCGAACCGCAAGCAACAGCTACAGTATGCGACCTACACACCGGCGGCGTCGCAGTTCGGAATGACCCCCGCCTACCAGACGCCACCTGCAGCGACACCCTCTCGCAAGAACAAGAACAAAAACAAATCCAACAAAAATTCTTCCAAGACCACGACAGCCCGACCAAACGGTCAAACTACGTTGAGCGTCTTCGTGAATTCATACGGTAAAAAGTTCGATTACAACAGCGGAAACAGAAAAAACCAGACCCCGAGGCCGAAGCCATCTACTTCGCAAAACTCCAACTACAACCGCAACGAAAAGTTCAACGCGGCGTCCTCCAGTATCTCCGAGAAGCAGGTCGCCATCAAAGCTCCCAAACAGGTCAAGGATAGCAATTCGCAAACCCCATCGAGGGCATCGTCTCGCAAACCGATCTCGAGCGGCACCTCGACTACCAACCTTCCGTCGTCGCCGGTGACCGCCAGCAGTAGCACCGGAACCACCAGCCTTACCACGCAGAGTCCGCTCTTGAACGAGCGCTTCTCCACCACCAACGGCCGTATCCCGATGCTTTTCCAACAGTACGAAAAGATCCAGCAATTCTATCCGGAGCTGAAACCGTACTCTTCGATCCGGGACGATCTGGATCGACCCCAATCAAGCGGCGTTAATGGTGGCAGTTTGTCCTCGTCCTCGTCGAATCCAAGTTCCGTCGTTACCAATGGGAAACCCTCGCGGGCCAATACGAAGATATTCTTTCCCGATACGGACATCATCGATGCGATTGGACCGCGGAAGATTTCCTCCAGCCTGCAGTCGGTTCAACCGTTCTACGGACGAACGCAGAGCTCGCAGTTTGTGTCCAGCGGGTCCAAGAGTGGAAATGGTACTGCTGCCTTCCTGGGATTGATTCCATTGAGACTCGTTGTTGTTGTTTGGCTTGAAATTCCTGTGTTTTTTTTTTTGTTGTTCCGTAGAACGTTTGGTCGTTGCGTTGGATGTTTTTGGTTTGCTGAAATTCAGTATTTTATGATTGTTATAGGTTCGTTTTGCTATTTTCTATCTTCACTCAACTTGTTGCAACTCAAATAGTTTCGGAAGTAGTGCACTGTGATTTCACAATGACACTACTTCCGACACTATGTTGAACGTACAGAACGAGATTAAAATCGATTGTTGCTTGTGGTTTATTCCGGTTTTCAACTGTACCGATTATATATTTAACCTCAAATGGGAATGTCCTTGTTCGCAGAAATCCATTTGATCAACACGCTAAGATTAATGTACGCAGGATTTGCAGGAAATCTCCAAATTCTTCATCTATCTTCTATCGATCTACTATGCTTAAGCGCATATCATAACAGCAAAGCGAAATGTTTCCTGCATCTTAGATAGAGTCGCTCCCCTCGGTTTTTTCAGGCACTCCTGCTTGTACATTTTGGAATCCGAACGCCAGTTAGATTTAAACTGCTGCTCGTTTTCCATGGATTTATTAGTTTTTTTTAGATTCCGTTTGACCAAAGCCCAATACCGTTCGGTAGCGCGGAGTTCTGGGCTGTTGGGAATGTTGTGGTCTTTGGGTACCACAACCACATTGTTCGCATCGTACCACTCGATTGCCTTTTTCCCATAGTGGCAGCTCGCCAAGTCCGGCCAGAACAGCACAGGTCTATTATGTTGGTTTAGGAATGGTAGCAGCCGCTTTTCCAGGCACTCCTGGACGTAGATTTCTTGATTGATGGTTCTCGTAGTAATTAAAATGCCGCTTTTTAGACCACACGTGCATATGGCCTGCCAGCTAGACGAGATATTTTTTCGGGAACTTCGATAGTTTGGTTTGGTTTTGAAATCCGCCGTCACATAAGTTTCGTCGTCCATGACGACACAGTCGAACTTTGTGAGCAGATTCGTATACAGCTTTCGGGGCCGCTGTTTTGCCGACGTGTTTTGTTTCGCCACCTTCACCTTTAACGTCGACAACCCGGGTCGTTTCTTGGCCCGCTGCACAGTAGTATGGGAGACATTGAGCTTGCCAGCGACGTCCCGGATGGCGAGGTTAGGATTCCGCTTATATTTCACCGCCACCTTCTTCCTCGTCACTGCCACGTCCGGATTAAGATTGCCGCCGCTTCCAGGCTTCCTGGCGGTGGACAAACACTCCCCGAACTCTTTTGTCACGGTCGATTTGGCCACATCCACTTGGCGTATGAGAACGTCGGATTCTCTTGCTGCGCGAGCAAAATTTTGACACGCTGCTCCTCTTGCTTGGACGTTATTTTGAAAACTGGAGAGTAAACGGTGAAAACTCATCATAGCAACCATTGCATATACACTCAACTTCCAAACACAGCATTTCAGGTTTTTTTTACACCAATTTGAAGTTGACCCGTTTTTGCGCGTTCCAGACTTTACCTTGCCAGATCATAAGCTTTCTTGCAAATTTATCGGCAAAAACGAATTTGAACTTGCTAGGGACATCACTTCGACCAGTGGCTTTATAGAACTTTTGTTCGGGAAGCTGCCCATAATCCATCTTCACCTGCGGTCGACGTCCATGAGGATGCATCCTTCGTACTTTGTAAGAACCTCATTGTACAACTTCCGGGCACGTCTTTTAGCCACTATATGCTGCTTCAGTATCCTGTTTGGTTGCTTACTGGTCCGAAAAGATCGAAAGCCTTCTGACGATGCTATGGCTGGCATTGAATTTCTTGGCGATATAATAATCCGACAGCCGTGGAGTTGCCCTAACCGTTCTCAGCACCTTCATATGCGGTTTCTCATTCTTAGTTCCACTATACGACGCTTGCTATGATCCAACCGATCGATGGTATGCCGCTCATGGTAACGTTTGAGAACGCTGCACACGGTCGATTTAGTTAATTTCAACAACTTCACACACTTTCCAAGCGAGTGTCCTAAATTAATTTTCGATTCGCGGCTTCCATCAAGTATATTTTAAACAAAATGAATCGTGACGAATTTTTCAACACTGATAGAGGAAACATATCAAAACAAACTGATGTCAAAACATTCCAGATTCGACCGCTAGGAGCATTGCAATAAAATAAGCAGTGCGTCCAGATATTATTAAATGGCTCAAGCTTTATACAGCCATTTCAAAGCAAACCAATATAGTGGTTCTCCGAATTTCGTTAAAATTGGTAGTTTTTCGCTAGGAGTATTGAGTGAAATCCCAAAACTTGATAAATTAAAAATATAGATCTCAAAAACGAAAAACAAACACATCGCTGATTTTTTTATATGTTGCGTTTTAACGGAGTAATTCGTAGGTTGCATACTGGCAACTGTCATGTATCTACTTTAACTTTCTTATTCTAATTGCTTAAGGAAAACTATTTGGGAATGAATAGCTCTCCAATCAGAATTCAGAACAGGAAAGGCATGGCAATTACCATTGCTGGCCACGCCCATCTTCTCCTTTACGGGGAACGGAAGGATATTGTTGATGTAACATCAACCTAACGGAAGGCCAGCGACTCACCGACGCCCCTATAGATGCTACGGAGTAGGATATTTGGGTAGGAGATAGGTCAGGATTCACTCAAGCAGGCGATGCTACCATAGTAATTGTTTTGTTTTGTTTTTTTTTTTCTAAAATTTAAGGACATCTGTACGCTCAATTTCGAGATAAACTGTATATATCATTAAAAAAAACAATTCAAGTCTCTGATTTTTTTAAATTTATGTTGTTACTGAAGTTAAATTAAAAGTTCAATGAGTGGAAGAAAATATAGAGAAAAATGAAATGTGTGCATAATAAATTGTATTATGTTCTTTAAAAAATCCTTAGTAAATTGAAAATTATCTGAGTAATGATGAAACTCCCAGGTTTTACCAGGAAAATAAAATTTCCTGACCATTACCGGTTTTCTAGGTTTTTACAGGTAGTAGACACCCTGAAGTAGTTTTTTTTTTGACACGAGACGTGGCAATTTGAGTTGAGTAAATGTTGGCGTTTTCAGTTAAAAATAGAATAGCCTTATTTATCCTTCTATTTCTGGTTATTCTCTTTTTCAAACTAGAAAATTTTCTTCACAAGTGTTAAGAAATATTTTTTTTTCGGAAATTGGCCTAATCACCATTTGGCCTAGTTACCGTTCGGCCTAGTAACCGTTTGGCCTAATAACCGTTCGACTTAATGACCATTCAGCTTAGTGACAATTCGGCCTGGCCTAATAACAGAGCGTAAAATTATTGACTGCCTAGGCTGAGTGTAATAGAGCACTGCACTATTCAATCCATTGCTCTGTGCAGACCGTTTGTACCAAACGGTAAAGGACGAGGCAATGAAAGAGCCAACAAAAACATTAAGTCACTCACGAGCAGGCGACGCACACCGCTTGTAATTGAGTCATTTTTCCATAGGAAATGTACGCTCAGTCATTCAAAACAAATATTGGGTACCATCACGGCAAAATAAACGTGTTGACTGAGCTACTGACTGGGTGCTCGGCTGTCAGTGACTCGTTTACCTTTCAATCTCATTCAGACTCTCACGAGGCAGTGAATGATGAGGCAGATGGCAGTTCATATTCATATCAAAATGACTCAATGAACCTGACTGTCTAATAACTCAACATCCGCTATGAGCATTCAATATACCAGTTTGATTTTGATAGGTCCTGGTCTAAATTAAAGGACAATTTCCCCGCAACACCAGGAACATGTCCTGATGTGGTCGATGGGTCCGGGGTACTGTTTTTAAAGTTCCTTTGATGTTAACATTAATATCACAGAATTCAGAAGCTCTACCTTTGACATCCCAAGTAACAATTTTGGCAAAATCGGTAGAACTGTTTCAAACACATCGTTGGTACTTGAGCGGTCGGCGATCATCTCTTTTTGCCAGTGGTGGCGGAGGGGGGGGGGGGACACCCCTCACCATCCCTCTTCAAAGGGGGAGTTTGGTAAAGAGAGATGATAAAACCGATTTGTACCTTCCTTAAAAGTTGTCCTAGCTTGCTATCTACTCTCTATATGCCGCAATCTAAACGGAACTATCAATTATATACTTTCATCTCCTCCTCATCTATCGTATACAAATTATCACTTCAATCAGTTATTAGAAATTAGCATCTTCAACTATAAAACAATGTTGGTTTTATGAGGGTTCTGTAGATCATGATTTGGACTTGTAGAATGCTATAAAACCTCGATGTTACTTGGGATCTCGAGTTATACATGGTGCGTGACGAATTTTTGCAGTAAATTTCAAATAGTAATTTCTCATGCTTGTGCATCATGATTTAGATATATTTGGCAGCACTGGATAGCTTATACTGTTAGGTGTAAGATTTAAACAAACAATGTTGAGTAAACGTAAAGATGTCGAAACAAGAGAGCAATCTGTCAGCCGTTGTCGCTTTGTTGCGCGCCGGAGTATGCATGAAAGAAATAATTCGGTCGGTAAATGTGTCTGAAAGAACAGTGTATAATATTAAAAAAGGCTTGGGAAAATGATAAGACGGAGCACTTGCTCATACTGCTAATAAAGCACAGAAATGGCTTACGGAAAATATTTCGTAAATTTGGGAGGAAGAAATTTGGCCCCCAAGCAGTCCCGATATCAATCCGTTGGATTATTTTGTATAGGGCGTCGTCCAACGGGATACCAATAGAACCCCTCACACCACACTTAAGTCGCTAAAAGCTAAAATCAAGGCAGTGATGACATCTATGGATCGAAACATTTTAAAACGTGCATACTGCAGTTTCCGGAAGCGTCTAACTACAGTCGTCGAAAGGGAAGGCAATTTTTTTGAATAAATTTACTTACAACTTCCATATGTTGCGAAAGAAAATAAATCGCACAAAATTCATTGCTAGAATAACTAACTGGTGTATTTTTTCTCAAATATGCCA